AAAGTGCCCCCCTTTTTTTTTTTTTTTTTTTTTTTTTTTTTTTTAGCTGAACATAACTATAAAAAAATTTCTTCACAACAGAATTTTCCATGGAAAGCAAAGTTAAAACAACATGATATTTCCAGATTTTCCATGTAAGTGGCCCTGATTCACTGGCTAAAGTGACATATGCTTCTTCAATCACAATTTACATTGCAATACTCATGTCAAAGTACAATTACATGAGTAACTAATGAGTAAGTATACTGTATAATTACATTTTGTTATTGCTATTGAAAGTCATTATTTTAACATGAAACAATGGACACTGTAATGTTAAGCACTGTCTTAATCTGGTTTATGGTTTCACTACTGATCTGTCACTGAACAAAAGCTGGTCTTTTTACTCATACAAAAAACTCAGACTTTGAACCTCAAATCACATAAAGCCTCCTGCCATTCACACTGACCACCGTTTATACAATAGACGCGTATGTACTGGAAACTGCTATTTGTTGCCTGTTTGTACATATAGCGTTTACAGTGACCTGGAAACAGTACTAACACAGTCAGTAAAGCTCCGATTTCTGAGGTTGTGTGAGAGAAAGCGACGGGAGGTTTGCGAAAAGACAAAATAATGACAACCAAAATAAAGCCGCTAAAAGTGGCCAGTCTGACAGGAACAGCGGACGATAGAAATACAAAGGGTCTTATTGTCATTTAACACGCATAGTGTGCCTTACCCGAAATCATCGTCCATGGATTTGAAGAAAAATTTGTAGTTGGGTTTATTGAGGACATTTTTGAAGTCGGCGAGCGTTACGTTTTCAGCGGGAATGGGTAGTTTGATGAGGTAGGGAGTCTCCTGCTCGTCGAGGTGATAGATGATCTTGGTCTCCGCCATAGCGGGCCGCTGCTGAGGGACAGGCCGCGCACATCAGCCCCACAGCGGCTCGCGCTCCGCGCTTCCACCGCGCCTCTGTCCAGCCGCAGCCTCTGCGCGCTCTCTTCAGTCAGCGACGATAAAACCCAAGGACAGAGTATCCTTGCGGTCGTATGTAATACAGATCTATCTAATAGTAGAATACATGAGTATAATAGATGGTCCTCTTTCCAAAACGACGCGAAAGAATGGTGCGGGTCGGTCTTCTCTGGGCTCCCTGTGAATACTGTTGCTTTTTCCTCTGCTCCGTCCTTTGGAAACAACTGTCGGCCGATGTGAGATTGCCCCTCCTATCGATTCACCACTGCGCTCCCTCTACAGGACGAGCTATACCAATAGTATACTGGACTTTGGCTGCTAGCCTATAAATGTACTTGCTTCATTTAAGGATAAGGGATGCATCTCAATTGCGCAAGGATGCGTTATTTCGTGTTGTTCCATATTAATCACGCAATAGAACAACTCGACCTTTTGCACTGTGTGCAAACTGATTGTTAAATTATTTTAAATGTCCTTAAATGTTTTTGGGATGTGAGGTACGTAGTAACCCAACACGTTTGCACCTCATTGCTGTAAATTCACTTACCTGAGGAGGACTTTCAGAGACTATTGAGTAATGATTAGTTGTCGGTAGCGCCCTCTAGAGGATGACACGGTTCCTGCACAGCTGTTCGACTCGTGAGGTGCACAAGATAGCGTTCATCAAAAAAAAAATTCTTTAGCCTATATCAGACTTGGCATGCCTTTTATGGGGTAAATCTCATGAAATATGTAAAGCAGGTCATATTTCACCACAAATAATCTAAATATTTAGTACTTATTTATTTTATTCATTTTTCTACTTTTATAATATTTAGATTTTTTTTACATTTTCACAAGCCCCTCCCCTGTAAAATACTGTAACGTATTTATAGCCTCCACTGTTAAGTGTAATGGTCCTATAATAGCCTTTAATAGTGTTGGGAGTAACTCATTACAAGTAACGCACATTACTTTCCATAAAAAGTAACTAAGTAACGCAATTAGTTACTTTTTTATGGAGTAACGCAATATTGTAATGCATTACTTTTAAAAGTAACTTTCCCCAACACTGGCCTTTAATGCTTCCGTGAGATGAGATCTATAACATAAAATATCTCATTACAAGAACCGTGCTTTTCCGTGCTTTGCCTTCCGACGCCAATTAGCTCCGCCCATTTTAATAATTGGCGCGATCTTACAGTTAACTCATTAGCGTACATAAGTTTGCAATCGAGTGACTTAAAGATTGAAGCATGAGCAAACACTGACAAAGACTAGAGTATGAGAAAGATTTATCATTAAAACGGTGCTTCTTTACTCCCAGTTTAGATTAAAAAAAAAAATACAGGCCCATCCGTTTTACTGACAAAAGGTAAGCATCGTTTTTATTGCATAACTGGAATGTGTATAAATATTTCCTGATACTCAAAGTGAAAGTTGCATTTCATATTATAGTCTGCGCCTATAGTTTTTTTTTTTTTTTGCATGTTAACCGTTGTCATGTTAAACAATGATTTATTTCTCATATTATTAACGTGGTAATATCAATGTTACTGTTTTCTAAAGCAATGGTGTAGGTAATGGTAAAGTAACAGTAATTACTAATGTCGTAGTTGTAATTAAATTAAGTTCATTCCCCAAAAGATTTAGCATCTACAAAAATTCAATCTCAATTCCATAGTTGCTAAGTTGAACCTATAGAAAAAAAAACATGAAAAAATTGTCCTGAAGGGGTCACATGGCTGAAAACAAAAATCAGAGCACACACAGACAGGATCAGTAACACATTTACTCATTAAAGTAGACATCAATAGATGAGGGTTGTATACAACCCCTTTTATTGTTGGATGTGCAGTGTTTAAGCTTTCAGTCAACAAAAGTGAATTTGAGAATTTGTCTACCACAAATGCAAGAAAGTGAAATCCGAGGTAGGATCCTCAGGTACGACACACAAAGTGCTCTCTGATGTCTTTATTACCTGTAAAACTGAACCAGTCTTCTACTGCTTGTAGTTAAGGCCACTGATGATCAGCTTGGACCCATCTACCTATAACCCCACCCTGAACACCCACTGCATTCTCACAAATCATAATCTGTTCCCTTCTCTTCAAAGTGCTCTCTGATGTCTTTATTACCTGTAAAACTGAACCAGTCTTCTACTGCTTGTAGTTAAGGCCACTGATGATCAGCTTGGACCCATCTACCTATAACACCACCCTGAACACCCACCACACTCACTGCATTCTCACAAATCATAATCTGTTCCCTTCTCTTCAAAACGTACTAATTTAAGGGAAATTTGCCTATTATAAAATAAAAAAGAAGTGAAAGAAATGCATTGGTTAAAAAAAAAAAAATCACCACAGCATCTCAATTCCTGAAAGCAACCTCTAACACAATGTAAGTAGGACAATGGTCACCAATGTCATCCTAGAATGGCTCAAATAACAAATTCAGGCTGTTCATTTGAACAGCAGTGTTGAAAACACCCACAGTGTTGAAAGGTTTGAAAGGCACTAACATGGCTCCACGTCTTCTGTCTTGATATACCTGAGACTTAACGTTGAGTGGTTAGCACCAGGAAAGAGAAGCTTGAGAAAAACAGATTCCAGTTCAAACAAAAAGGAAACAATCTGTTTGTCACAGAAAGGCTGAGAGTGTGTTGGTTCTGCAGGATCTTCATTAGGCCATGATCAGATTTGCACGGTGAGTACAGACTGTGTGCATTCATGCCACTTCTCAAACACTGTCCAGGAAGGCGATTAGTCAGGGATTGGTCCTCCTCAGAACACCCCTGCATAGCTAGCAAAAGGAAAGTCTCTGAAATCTTAAGTCCTCCAACTGATTTCTCAGAGAACAGATGCAAACACAACATATGAGATGATGTGCATAGGCCAGCGGAACATATGCGAGACACACACATCTACACACACTCAAAAAGTTAATGGCTAACAGATGACAACCAGTATCCTTGATACTGACATACCCCTATCCATATGTGCACGCACACGCACACGCACACACACACACACACACACACACACAAACACACAAACACACAGGTTATGGCATAATAACCATTGCAAACATTTGTCCTCCACTTCGTTCCACAGCCCTGAGCAGCTTTATGTTTAGCTTATAAAAAATCAGTGTCTGCCTTTTTAAACAGACATCCCAGTGTTGGTGAGAGTGTACACCCATCAGCGCTGGCCTCCCATAATGCATTGCTATGGTCCAGTCTGAGCCAAGGAGTTCAATTTCTGTCCAGTTCCTGCCCTTCTGGCTTTTCACCTCAAACCTTCTGCCTCTCCACAGAAGTTTTGAACTCATGCGGACACATTGACGTCTCGCAGGGCGATGGTCCCGTTGGCAGGGGGGTCTGTGGGTGAGGAAGGGGCAGAGGGTGGTGATGTGAGTAAAGATGGAGCTGTGCTGGTGTTAAGGGCGCTGCTTTGGAACAGTATCTGCTGAAGTGTCCTGCATAGATTTGGGTGCAAACGGGCCTGAGTTTGATAAAATACCTCCACAGCAAAACACTTCATCACCCCTCCACACAGATCCTCATAAAGGGGCACTGTGTACATCCGTGAGGTCTAGAAAGAAAAAAGGAAGAGGAAAGTTAATAGACAACCCACTGCTAAACAGACAAGATTAAACATTTATTTTCTATGCATACAATGCCCAATTCTTAATTTAAAACAGCACCTCAGTAAGGTCAAGTCAGAATGCCTCAGTGAAAGTAGTGACAAAAGTCAAACTATACTACTCACACTTTAAAGTGCCCCTATTATGGATTTTTGAAAATTACCTTTGATGCAGTGTGTAACACAGCTCTAAGTGAATGAAAACATCCTGCAAAGTTATAAATCTGAAAGTGCACTGTGTATAAAGTTATTGTCTCTCAAAAGAAAGAGTCGACTCTGAATCATTGAAACGAGTCGTTTTTTAAAACGAATCCCAAGCCCTTTCATGTTGACGTCAACATGAAACATTAGCATATTGCCGCCCACTTGTTGGTCTTTTCGCGTTGGTTTGAATGAAAATGCAAATTCATTCTTTGCCACTAGGTGCCACTAAAAATAACGGTTTCCCCGGTAACGCTGTACGCAAAGCAGCACTGCGCTCACAAACGCTGCTTTATCAGGCATTACAGGCGAGATGAAATGAAAATGAGACCAATCGGACCAACCACCGCAGATTAGCGTCACGCAAAGGAGGGGTTTGGAAAAATGAATTGTTGAGTGAATCGTTTGGGAGTCGTTGAGCAAGTAAGGTAAAAATACATGCATATTATAAGACAATGAAAGTGTTTTTTGACCTTGCATGCATGTCAACCTGTTGTTAGGGACTCCCAAAACCAAAATATTAACCTTTCATTACCCATAATAGGGGCACTTTAATATAACTCTGACGAGAATCCTTTAAATATCTCCTTCATGTGATAAAGCAATACGTTTTTACACCAGATAAGGAGTTTGTAGTCAAGCAAAGAGAAGCGCCTAAAACAATAACCTTTTTCTTGTATTGAAGGTTTCCAATATTATAAAGACACCAATGTTCAATAAAAAGTTACATTATTAATTGTAATTAAAAAAACATTCAACTGGCAAGTAACATAATAATTAAACAATAATTTTAATGTAGCAAACTGATGTGCGGTCACAGGTGAGTGTATATTGTCTATTGTACTATGGCTTTAAACACGTCTCATCTAATCAGAAGTTAGTGTTAGATCGGTATGTTTCATATCTCCTCCACTTTGGAGATTTTATACATTTCAAATTGTTTGCCATGTATGACAAGTTATGGTATCATCAGGATTCACTTTGAAGAATTCATAATTTTTTTACAATCTCTTAGGATGAACTGTAATAATGCTTGACACAATACTCTTTAGAATACGGTAATCAATACAACATGCTTTCGATGAAGCAAAAGAAACCAGCCAAACTGGTTGTGATTGAGCACATCTCTTCACAGCTCTGAAAAGAGACATGACGTCATAAGCAGTTAATAGTCAAAGACTAGCCGAGAGTGTTTATTAGAAACACTGGAATGTGGATGCCCTTTAAGGAAAACTCAGTTTATATTGAGTTGGAGGGGTGAGGGAGAAACAGAGAGTGCCAGACACTAACTCACTGAATTACACGCTTTTACAAACCAGACTGTCCCTAGCTTAATAGTGTTTGTGTCCTCTAAACAAAATAAGATACTGATTTGCTTTAACTCAGCTTACTAGCTTCAGACCACACAAAAGGCTCTTACAATCAATAAGGAAATGCTACATTAAAGGGAGGGGGGTCTAATGCTATTTCATGCATTCTGAGTTATTTACACTGTTAAATAGTTGGATTCTCATGCTAAACATGGCCAAAGTTTCAAAAAAATTAGTATTTCTGTGCCAAATACACTCCCTTCTGGGTTTGCATACGTTTTGGAAAGTTTTTTTTTCGAGCATGGCCCTTCATGATGTCATGAAGGGGGGAATTTCTTGTATGGGCACTTCTCCAGGAAGAGTGCGCGCACACATCAACCAGAGCGAGAGCAAGAGCAGCCCATCAACGTGCTTCGTTCAGGTTACGGCAGTCGTTGGCAGCGCTGCACAGGACTTGCTCGAGAAGAATGTCTCCAAAGAAGTGTGTTTTTGGATGTGAGGGAAAGATAACCTTGTTCAGCTTCCCAAAGAACCCAGCATTACGTGAACAGTGGATGCAGTTTGTTTTTTCGGGACAGCAATGGAGTTTTGCAAGCGTGTTTGTTTGTTCCCGTCATTTTGGTGACGAATATTTTATCAGCAAGGCCCAGTTTGACGCTGGATTTGCACATCGTTTGATACTGAAAGATGGAGCGGTCCCAGCGCTAATAGATCCCGGTCATTAGCAGGCGGAGAGTAAAACTGCATCAAATTTCTGTGTATTGTTGGTAATCGGCGCCTAAGTGCTCGCGACTCGCTAGATCCACCCACAACACACCTCCAGGAGCTCGGCTGTTTTCTGAGAGAATCGTAAAGCTGTATCTTTCTTCTATGAATCTGATCAAACTAAATCAAGATTCTTTGGAGATATGAAGAATGCAATACTACTATATAGATCCTCAAGATCCTAACATGAGATTGGCCGAAACTGTGTGTGTTATGTCCCCTTAAATGCATTATCAGTTACAGCCCAAAAGGCACTTAATTCACAAAACTCACGTGTTTATGCAAGAAGCTGCGAACTCGGGGCAGATCAGGATAAAAGCTGTTCCGCACAACAATCTGCAGCCATCGAATCTGGACTTCAGCGTTCATGCCGTCCAACAACGCAGAGTAGCAGCTTGACAAAAGACTCATCACTTCTGAAAGGTCAATCACATTTCACATTACAAGAGAAGAGATGTCAAACATCAACGCAAAGGGGATACTAAAATGAAAAGAATGTTGACAAATTGCGAAATGGATTCTTAATACCTTGAGACAGAGGTGAGCGGTCTAGAAGGCGGTCCAGGAAGAGGACAGTCTGAAAGGTGCTCCAGGAGGAGAGGTCAAATGTAGAGATCACTTGGGGGTCAGGGGCATCCATGCCCCAAAGATCACACAGGTGCTGAACAGTGCCTGTTAGAGCTCTACCCGCCGAGAGATCCGGTTCACATAACGGAGGACCACAGCCATTTAACCATCGCTCAAATTCCAGACCTGAGCAAGAGGGGAAGGAAGAAGGAGGGGAAGAAGTGTCACATTTCTGTTTATTTAGCCTCCATCTCTCGCACTGCTAATGTTGCTTTGACCCCTCACACTGGGTGTTATGACTGGCTCAACAGGGAAAATCCTAACCGAGGACAAATGGAGCGCAGTGAGATGAGTAACTATAAGTGTCTCTGTGTGTTAATCATCATCTTTGACAGCTGTCGAAACTCACCCTCTCGTTCAGCAACACAGCTCTCCTTCAGCTCAGGGAAGAAGCCAAGGAAAAAGTCCAACAGATCCTGAGCGATTACGCTGCTGAATCTGAACTTCTCAATGTAGGCCTACACAGTGCACAGTGCACGAATTCAGAAACTTCATGTGTGGACCATGCCATATATGTACAGTGGAGCATGAAAATTCACGCATGTGTGGTGAATGTCATGTTTCTCACCCTAAGAAAGCTATCAAATCTCTTGATGTCGCCACACAGCTGTGAGAGGTAAGATACAAAGCAGAAGCCTTTCTCATAGGTGAACAGATTCATTAGACTGCTGGGGTTTACACCTTTGGAGAAAGAGAAGGAAAATGGATAACATGGTACACTGACCCATGAATCATGGGTCTGACACTTCACAAGAACATTATAAATATTTAAGCACATTTTCCAGACAGGCTCAACATTGCAAATTAGGATTTTCCTTGCTTCTGTCTTTCTGAAATCTTAGTAACCAGGAATTTTAGATGCATTTACCACACAGCTATTTCAGGTGTACGGAAAAAGCACCACGTGCCAAACCCAAGGTCTCTTTCAGCCTCGTACAAAGGCTGGTTTATATTGTTAAAAAGGTTGTACCTGGCTCAAATTTGGCCTGCAGCTTACTGACAGGATTGTTGTCTCCAAGAAGACGCATCTGTCTGTGAAGAGCATCTAGACGGAACACTGTCTCAAGACAAGTGAAGGCTTCTCCTGAATCAGAAAATTGAAGTGATAAATGTAACGAGAGCATTGTGGAATATTTATAGGCCTGTGTGAATCACTCCACAGAGGTTTTGCATTTGCTGGGGTATAACACTCCCATATCACTGGCATCATTCTACACAAGTATGAATCTTTGTGGAAAGTATACATAAACATTTCCAAAAGGCCTACATGGTGATGTTTCTAAGTTTGGATACGTGTGAGGACATGTATACCATAGGCCTCTGTGGTAATGCGCCTCTGAGCATAAGTGGCCAGACCCTCACTGAGCCACATTTCTTCCCAGGTAGCATTGGTGACGGCATTGCCAAACCAGCCGTGAGCAATCTCATGGATGACATCAATCAGCAGAAACTCTTGACTCTCCAGTATGGAGGAAATTATGAAAGTAAGACAGGGATTCTCCATGGCAACGATGGGGAATGAAGGAGGAAGGAACACTATGTCGTACCTGTAAAGGAAGAGACAGGTTAATACCTGAATATGACAACAAGCTTGATGCAACAAGGCGAACAAGATTGATATGACTGAAGAGTACGGAACTGACCTTCCCCATACATAGGGCCCAAAAAGCCCCTCTGCCACATTAAGCCAGCGCTCCACATTGCCGCCCAGTTTACTGACCGCACACGTTAGGATGCAGGGCTCTGCCCACACACGACTCCTAAAAGCAGATTGTGGCCAAGGTAAAGCATTGAACACTAATGAAAACAATGCACATATCTTAGATAATTGGTACATAAGCCAGCTAAAAAAGTCAGCATTTCTAGGCTGGTTATGCTGGATATAGCTGATGAACCAGCATATCCATGCTGTTTGGAAGCAAAAACAGCAACCGGCATGGTTTTTCTGTTAACCTTGTTGACCAAGGTAGCACCTTCATGCTGGTAAATGTTGTGGTCTTGCCACTTGTGGTTAAGCAACCTATTTGAGACAAACCGCCGCAAGCGTATCCTAGAGTGAACACCAGTATATCGCTGTTCAAAACAGCATATGCTGGTATCAAACTATTCTCTTCTTTTCAGCAGGGGTACTCCATCCCTGTTTACCTGGGCCCAATGTCTGCATGCTGTAGGTCTCCTGCCACCAGGGCAACCAAGTAGGCTGGGACAGGGTACTCCATGGAGAACTGGAAAACCCTGTCCTGTTTAGAGTATGCACTTCTTGAGGCACTCATCAATACTGTAACACCCTCTGGTACCTGTAACGCAGTACACATGATCTAAAACCAGAAAACAACACTGAATGCCCACAGAGCTGTTTTGGTGGATCTGAGCAGCTTAGATAGACTTACCCTGACAGTGGCAGAGTAGGTGCTTTTGACAGCTGGCGTGTCAAAACAGGGAAAAAACGACCGGTTGCAGACCGAGTGACCCTGAGTGAAGACCAACGGACGGGTTTGTCCGCATGTCAGCTCTGCATCCAGCCACCAAATCTGATGAAGGAACCAGGGAACAATGAGGTGAGGGAATAGCTTTGGCAAATAAACGTTCTAGGGAATAGCTCTGAACATGCAAATGATTCAATACAGATTTACGTAACAAGGTTTAGGTTGCATGGTTAATAGATTAAAGCACTGATTAATTAACAGGTGAAGCAGTTGTGAATCCAAACGTCAAGTTAAATTGATGAAGTTGAAGAAACAAAAGACAACTACCCATATAGAGGTGAGCAGCTAAAATGCCCATGTTTTGTGTGTATATTACACCACTAAAATAGCACAGTGTAAGCAGGGCTCAGCAGTCAGAATCACCTTATAGCCTGGGGCCAATTTTGGGCAGCTTACAGAGTGTTCATTTTGATATGTAATGTTTTTATGCATTGCAAACTCATATATTTGACTCTCTGTGATGTTTGTTGTTTAATTTGTTATGAATTCTGCTGATGTCAAGTGTTTTAATCTAGCTGGCTATTATAGATGAGGTTTTGATTGAAATTGTGATAATGATAATAAGAACGATGTTATGCTTTGCTGCGTTGAAAAAGACTTTTCCACGAAACACAGTTGTCATGCTGATACATTATAGCTGTATAGTTTCTGGCTAATACTGCAAATTATTATTATTATTATTACATTTTTTTATATATAAAGAAAACTAATGAAAAAAATAGTGCTGTCACACGATTAATCGCATCCAAAATAAAAAATCGTGTTTACATAATGTATGTGTGTGATCTGTGTTTATTTATTGTGTATATATAAATACACACACATGCATCTATATATTTAAGAAAAATATGTTTTGTTTTTATATTAAATATTTATATTTAAATATAATATAAATTATATACGAGTATATATACATGTATGTTTGTGTATTTATATAAATATACACAGTAGACCCATATATTATGTAAACAAAAACTTTTATTTTGGATGGATTAATCGCCATTAAATTGTTTGACAGCACTAGAGAAAAAAAAATGTAAATGTTATTTCTGGCAGAAATTATTTAAAGGCTTTGTTGCTAGAATGTATTCAAGGGATTGAACACTACTAAAAACTAAAAAACAAAACCTGTTTAACACAGCCCACCTTCCAGTAATTACCTCGTGCACTCATAATCATGACCTGGATAACTCTAGTTATCCACTTAAGGGGACATGACACTACACTGAGGTCATTCTTATCAGTATAGCTCCAGTACACTCACTGTTTTCCCCTTTGCATGTGTCTAATAAATAAATGGGGTGATCCCACAAGCATGTTACAATCCCGTGTCCCACAGGACCCCTTAAATCTCCCAAAACAAGGCCATAAAAGCGAAGGTGGCAGAGCTGGTCATCAACATTAAGGCTCCACTGCCGGGATATTTTAGTGGATATTGACTCTGTGTACAATAGTCCTGTGCAACAAAGTTATTATTAGCGTGTATCAGTGGCAGCTCGTCAGCTGTCACCGCGTTGACCTTACCGCAGGGCTGTCTGTGGTAGTGTAGCGGATGGTGACACGGAAAGCCCGGTGCGGCCGGATCACCGCGGCCGGGAGGCTGATGTTCAGAGACGATCCGTAATCGGTGAACGGTTCTATTCGGTAGGTGAGCGACAAAAACACGTCGGGAGCACCAGACGCGCCGGGCACCTTGCAGTCCACGGAATGAATTAATAACGAAGGATGCGTGTCCAGAATGAGGGACTGGACGCCGGGCTGGACGGGCGTGAGCTCCAGAACCTGCCATCCCGTCATCCTCTTGACGGCGAAGTTCAGGTGGAGGTCCAGGTGGAAATGTCGGAGTTTAAAGCTGTGGAAGTTGGACGCCGACGCGACGTCCACCAGGCGACAGTACGCCAGACTCCGGCCGCCCTCGCAGGACTTATTACCGGGCACGGCCAGCACTTTCCGACAGCAGCACAGCGTCGGCCGCTGCAGCTCGGCCATCGTAGAGTTTGGCGAATAAATACACGATAACGTGACGACAGCGTCAAACTTTAAAAGCGGCGACCGCGCGCGGCGGTCTTCGGGGTTGAGCTCGAGCTCGGCGGAAGACAGATGAAAGAGCGATCGAGTTAGTTACATTGTTGCTGGAGTTAAAGGGGCGGTCGAGGCTGGACACTCCGCGGAGGAGGAAACCGAATGCAAGAAATGATAATAAAACGACCAGGAAGGCAGTAAAAAGCATTAAAACAAAACACAAGTCTACGTAAAATCCATTAGAGCCGTAGACACGACTGACTTCAGCCCTCCGACCTCCATCTAAAGCAGAATATACGCGTGGATGTCCCAGTCCGTCCTGAGACCCCTACGGAGAGATCGGTAAAAACTACCGCTAGAAGAAGAAACGCATAGTGAAACCCCGATGAGCAGAACCGATCTAAGTGACTCCCTTAGAAAACAGGAAGTAAAAACAGGGGAGGAAATCACTTCGAGACGGGAAAGTTTTCGAGCTGCAGGGGGGCGCTGCGGAGCTCCAGCACATCTCACGATCAACCGCAAAAACACTGGAAAACAGCAGGACTGGGCTATGTTTGTTATGGATTACAATGTAGTTTATATAAAGTGCCCACAGTACTGTTGATAATAGATGAATTAGAATGAAAATGATGTTATTATTTACTCCAAACCTATGAATTTCTTTCTTACTGAACACACAATATATTTTGAAGGATGTGTGTAACCAAACAGTTGATGGACCCTATTGACTGCCATAGTATGGAAAAAAATATCTTCTTTTATGTTTAAATGAGGAAATAAACTCATACAGGTTTGGAACAGAATTTCAGTTTTTTGGGTGAACTGTCCCTTTAAATACTGATTCTAGCAAAATGTTGGTTTTATTAGATCTCAGTGCTGCATTTGATACTGTCGACCACAATGTACTCATTAACAGACTGAAAATGTGGGTAGGACTCTCTGAAACAGTGCTTAGATGGTTCAGGTCATATATTTAGCAGGCAGGGCAGCTTTGTGTACATTTACGAATCTAACTTGGGCTGCCATGATACATGGAGTTCCACACGTTTCAATCCTTGAGCCTCGACTGTTCCAATTTGTATACTCCCATAGGCCATATAATTCACAGCTGGATATTCCAAGTTGAATAAAGACAAAAGAGAGGTCATTATATTTGACAATAAAGATGAAATATCAAAGAAGTCAGAAATATTAAATGAAGTCAGGAACCTTGGTAACATTCTGGAATATTATTTCAAAAGCCATAACTAAATTAGCCTACTGCCATCCAAAACAGTACAAATCAGATCATTTGTGCACAAACAAGGCCTAGAGAAGCTTATTCATGCATTCATGAGCAGCAGGGTAGATTACTGCAATAGACTTCTTACTGGCCTTGCCATGAGGACTATTAGACAGTTGAAGCTCATACAAAACACTGCTGCAGGCTCCTGAACAAAACCAAAAAACAAGTCATTAGTTCATTATATTGGCTGCCAGTTCCATTTCAGAATACTTTTAATTGTATGGAAATCCCATAATGGCTTTGGACCAAAATACCTTGCAGATATGCTGGTGAGACGGTGTTTAGCCGTTATACTAACCACAGCTGGAAAAAGCTTCCAGAAGTTGTCAGGAGTAACCCAAATGTTGCTACTTTGATTATTTCTTATGTACCTTTTTATGACTACTATTAAAAAAAAAAATAAATCATTTTCATGTAAAGAACTGATTTACCATTGTGTATGTCGTGGTATATAAATAAACTTAATCTTGCCAACAGATTCCAGAATGGATGATTCATGAACCTTTAGTAGGACATTTAAAGAATAGTTCACTTGAAAATAAAATTCAGTCATTTATTTATCATCATGTTGCTTGAAACATTACATCATTGTGGCATTACATTATAAGAAGGTCACACAATTCTGCATTTTGAACATTTCGCTAAATCATTTCTTTTGTTTTTCATTCTTTTAAGCGATATGACGGTGGGTAGATTAATTCATTTTTATTTTTGGATAAACTATTCCTTTAGGTATTTTGCCTAAGGTACAACTGTAATAGTTAATGAATCACATTATGTATGGTGTTTGAAACTATCCCATTAACCCCAGGGTTCTCCAGAGGGACTGTTCTTGGGATAAGTGTTGGCTAAATGAATAACCTCAGTAATATTATATACTGCAGTAAACTCTTGTTGCAGTTGGTTGGCACAGAAAGTCTGTAGGGGAAAGAGCCATCCTGCATGAGCACATAATACTGTGCTGGCTGCTCAGGTCCATTTACAAGTACACTGTTGTAATCTCCAAAAGTGCTGGTTTCCCTTGTCATCCTGGACACCGTCCTGCCTTCTCTCACTGGGCAGAGGTGTTTGTGGAAGGGACTTTACATCCTTTCTCCAAAATTAATTTGATGTGTCATTAACAGAAAAAAATAATGTAATATTTTAAAAATGTTAATGACTCATTCATTGTATGACTCAAGTATATCACTCTTTCTTTGGGTCGTTGTCTCCCTCAGAAATTGTAATGTTCTTTTCTGAGCACTGCCATAATTGTTCCACCCAAGGTGAACAGAAATAGAAATATATTGGAGGTAATTCTTATGAGGAAATGGCAGGATAACAGGATGTGTAACAGGAGTGAATCTGTGAAAAAGGCACATGGAGTATAATTTTGCCTCAGTGTATAATGACTAAAATGACTTCTTCTATAAGCATATCACTCTGGTATCACATTTGTATTACAGTTAATCTTCTCTCAGTAATCCAGAAACATAGACACAGAAAGGGTAAACCTAAAATAAATTTATTGAGACTCTTCTTCCACCCTTTTCACAAGGCAGTTAAGAAACCATGCTAAGGCTATGGAAAGAAATGGAAATGACAGACATTTCTGCAGGGTCTGATGAGGGGACTTGTTGGAAATCAGATTCCCCTTCATGCAGACCACAAACGACCATCACAACCTGATTCAGAAGGTCCATTCAGTGTGACCTCTTTGTACCAGTGCTGTGATAGACAACATAACACACACACAAAAAAAACAAAAGGCCCGTTCTAGCAAATTTGGCCTCGACAAGCATCTCTTTTGGGACAAAGTCCAAACAAAATCAGTCACCTCCTACAGAGGTTGATACAAAGTGCAAAAACAAGCCAAAAATGAGAAATGCTTTCATACATAAAAGAGCAAAAACAATACCACATAAGAGGAAAAAGAAAAGGAACAGGCAAAAATGTTAACAGTGGAAGTAGGTTATAAATATACAAAGGCATCTTAGCTAAGACTGAATCCTTGGTGTGCTGAACAAGGAGACAGTAAATAAACAGCACTGTTTCTCTTAAAGAGTCCCACTTACTCAGTGCTTGTTCAACATCCTGTGGACAGCATCACCTGTGCCAAAGTTTAGGGTTCAAGTCATAAGACGACATTTACACATGTACTGAAGACAGTCAAGTTGTCAAAAATATTAAACTGTAATGAAAGATGATACATCTGAATGTATGTATATATATATATATATATGTATGTATGTGTATATATATATGTATGTCTATATGTATGTATATATATATATATATATATATATATATATATATATATATATTACACACTGTACATAGACCAGCATAATCGGTACAAAAAGGACTTACAAGGATTTACAACCACCTTGTAAATATATACATATATATATATATATATATATATTCATATAAACAGAGATATGTACTCTGTGAAACATACCAGTTTGCATGAAAACTGATTTCCCCTCTTCATTACGTAAATATCATTACAGTGTCAGTGTTTCTTGACCTAACCATTTAAGCTCGTAAGTAGTACATCTTAACAGGCATGCCCCTAATGACAGCCCATGAGTTTCATGGAAATACAATAACCTCCCTCCCCAGGTCCCTATAGGTTTGCAGGAGGGAGTAACATTGAAGCAGCAATGACTGGAATATTAATGGAGAATGTTCCCTTCAGCATGGTTTCCCATAGAAAACCATTAGAAGGAAAACACTGAACCATTAAGCGGATTGCGTTCATATTCCCGCCTCATCTGCTTGCCTATATAAACTATGCATCATTAATATAGAGAATATTACGGTTTTAAATATATTATGGCACTTTAAAGGGTTAGTTCACCCAAAAATGAAAATTCTGTTGAAACCTTGGCTCGGACATCCTTTAGCCTCTTACAGAGATTTTGTTCTCCACCGCTGCCAGCATCGCACAGAAGCGTGAGTTTTCGTTCGCCAAGAGCTTGGACGGCTCGTCAAATTCCACCACCTGGGTCAAAAAAAAAAAAGCTGCAAGTCCGTAAAACAGAGGAACCACAGAAAAAAAGGCTTCTTTACGTTTGAAGGAACCGTGGAGTAGAAACCTGCATTCCCGCGGGACCCGACGCAACAGAGTGCGGCACGGGACAAGACTTGATGGGCGAGTGAGTGTGAGTGCGGGTGCGGACGGGTAGACACTGTGCAGGATGTGGTATAATAAAATGATTCGCGGGACTCCGGCAAAATATTCATAGTATTACAGACCTACTCTGTAATAAGTTCCTGTTTTATCGATATCCTAAATGATAGTTTTCATGTGACGTCACACCCTTATAAAAATGCCCACCTGGAGGGTAAAACGAAGCTTTGCCCCACTGACCGCCAGTTATTTTTACGCAGTTTGCATCAAGTAGTAATGTAGTAAAACGCAGATATTAAAAGG